ATGATCCAGCAATCCCACTACTGGGTATATATCCCAAATAAATGAAATCAGTATCTCAAAGAGATATCTGCACCCCCGTATTTATTGTAGCTCTATTCACAGTAGCCAAAATATGGAATCAACTCAGGTGTCCATCAACAGGTGAATGCATAGTGAAGATGTGGATCAGCCATAAAAAAGAATAAAATTCTGTCATTTGTGGCAGCATAGATGGAACTGGAGGATATTTTGTTGAGTGAAATAGGTCAGGCACAGAAAGACAGATACCACATTTCTCACTTATATGTGAAATGTCACAAAATTGTAGAAGTAGATAGTAGAATAGTAGTTTCCAGAGGCTAGGAAGGGTTGGGGAGCATAGATGAGGAAAGTATGGTTAACAGGTACGGGGTACCACTGGATAGGAGGACTATCTTCTAACATTCTGTAGCAAGTAGGTTGACAACTATGGTTGGCAACAATTAATTGCATATTTCAAAATAGCTAGTAGAGAGTATTTTGAATTTTAAAGACAAAAAAGGTAAATGTGAAGTTAATAAATATGTCAATTACCTTGATCTGATCATTGCATATTGTACACATGTATTGAAGTATCATGCCATACCCCACAAATGTGTACAATTATTACCTGTCAATTAAAATTTTTAAAAATATTTTTGAGAACTTAAAAATACATGTTTCCTTTAAATTAAAAATAAGTGTGAAATGCTTAAGCAGAGGTCAGCAGATGATATTTTTAGCAGAAACTTTGAACTACCAGTATTTGGATGCATATTAATGTTGGATGATTTAGGATGAAATCATCTTTTTTTACTGAGGTGTCTCATGAATTTTTCCCAGAGCCAGACTTACATAATGCATTTTTTAAGGTGGAGCATAAAGGTTTGTTATCTATTCTATTTTGTATAAAATAAATAGATAAAGCCATGCGTCATCCCGACTCGGCTGTGGCCCTCACCAATTTCATGCCAGAATGCCAGGCGCTAATATCCTTTGTCAAGAAGAGGAGTATTTTGGGTTTTGTTTTTTGTTGACTTTTTTTATTTCCTTACGATGAAAGCTCATTGGTTCTATTTCAGAGCTCACAATTGATGGATAGTACTAAAAGAATCATATGCCCAATTATGCCCCAAAATATCCAAAGAAATAGTTGTCTGTCTTGTTCTCATTTTCCTCCTTCTCTGAAACTACTTCCTTTATCACACAAAATGTGTACCTGGAAATTTAGGGTGGTTCTATTTATAAAATGGATGTTTTTTTCCAAATACTTGAATAATTTTATTAAGGGTTAAAATATGCAGTGTATTACAAAATTATGTGACTCATGCGTAGGGTCTGATCTAATCCCTTTTGTATCAAAAAGATGTGTTAAAGTGTAGGTTTCCATATTTAAAATTCCAGGTTCACAATAGACCTTTCAAACCAAACCCATTTTGTATTAGAAGTTGAATGGCAGAACAAGCTCAGATTTCGCAAAAGGAAATTAAGAATTTGGATCCAACTTTTCTGTCTACAATGCAGCATGTTCAGTAGAACTTAAAGCAGTTGTGGTGAGTCATGGACCTTCCTCCTTTGTGATTGGCCTGACATTTCCACATCCCCTCTGTTCTTTTCCTGTGCTGGCTGTAATAAAGTACCAAAAACCAGAGGGCTTAAAACAACAGAAATGCACTATCTTGCAGTGCTGACAGCCAGAAGTCTAAAATCAGTATTACTGGAACAAAATCAAGGTGTGGGCAGGCCGTGTTCTCTGTGTAGACTCAAGGGAAGAATTTGTTTATTTCCTCTTCCAGCTTCTGTTGGCCGCTGGCATTCCTTGGCTTGTGGCTGCATCTCTCTGGTTCTCAAGGCTGGCACCAGTCTCTGTTCTTTGCTCATATCACCTTACCCTCTGTGTGTCTATGGACTCACCCACTGCCTCTCTTTTATAAAGCCAAGAGATTTTACTGGTTGCATTGAGGACATCCAGATAATTCATGATAATCTTCCCATATCAAAAGACTAAAGTTAATTATATCTATAAAGACCTTTTCCCAAATAAAGTAGACCCAACCAGAGCAACTGGGAGTTTACAGTTACAAAGGCCTCAGTCCATAAGTGGCTGGCTCCATTCCTCTGGACTCAAGGTGAGGCAGAACATATCATGGTGGATGAGTGTGGCAAAGAGAAGCAGCTCACATGATGATCAGAGAGAAGACAGAGAGGCTCCACTAGCCAGATATAAAATATATACCCCAAAGCAGGCCCCCAATACCCTACCTCATCCAGCCACACCCTACCAGCCTTCAGTTACTGTCTAGCTAATCCCATCAGGATTAATTCTATGATTGGATTAAGACTTTTGAAACCCAATAATTTCTTCTCTGAACCTTTTTGTATTGTCTCATACACGAGCTTTAGGGAGACACCTCACATCCAAACCATAACATTTATAAATATTAGGAGTCAATGTCTTTGGGGAGACATTTTCAGTCTTCCACATCTCCCAGTGCCCCAGAGTATTTTGGGTAATATTGATCCTAGGAAACCCAAATTCTCAGAGAGAATCTGAAGTTTAGATCTGCATTCCCAGTTTCACTGAAGCCCAGGATCATCTCAGAAACAAGGATTATTTCATAGAATTCTTGTTCATATATTTCCTATTTTTTGAAACCTGAGATGCACAGTAGGCGCAAACTCATAAGAAAACACATTTATATTTACGCCAAGTAACAAGCTAAGAAATCAGTTGAAAACTCTTGTAACCTTTATTCCTACACCACTTCCAATGTATAAAATGAAAAGAATGTGGTCTATTTATTGGTTTGTGAAAATTAACAATGATAGGTGACAAAATCACCTAATAGATACCATACATTTTATATCAGAAGGGCAAGCCAACCTTAAACTTTGGCAATGAGGTAAACATCTAAACAATTATTTAAAAGGTGTAAAAGAAGAGGTGAGAACTCCCAAGGTGCTATTCATTGATAACTAATAGGAGAACACTTCATTAAGGAACTATTATTCTAAAAAAAGAAAAAAAAAAAAAAATATATATATATATATATATATATATATATATATATATATATATTTTACTAGAGATTGAACCTCAGGGCACTCTACCATTAAGCTACATCCCCAATCCTTCTTATTTTTATTTATTTTTTAAATTTTGAGACCAGGTCTTTCTTTCTGAGTTCCTTGAACATAGGATCCTCCTGCATCAGCCTTCTGAGTCACTGTGATTACAGGCATGCACCACCATGCCTAGTTCCCTGAATATGTATTTCTTATTGACTGGTTTTCTTACTTGTGTTATCTTTGGACTTGGGCAAAACATATCTCATTTTTTCAAATACAGAAAAATTTAAGTAGAAAGTGTATATGGTCATATAAGTGTCATAATCCCCCCAGTTTCCATTGGTTTGGATGTAAGCACTAGATAAAATATAATATTGGTTTGTACTTTACTCGTCCATTGATGATATATTCAAATCAAGTCAAAAAATATTTGTTGGCCACTTACAATGATCTTTTCCTTTATTAAAACTTGATGTTAGGGGACTGGGGATGTGGCTCAAGCGGTAGCGCGMTCGCCTGGCATGCGTGCGGCCCGGGTTCGATCCTCAGCACCACATACAAACAAAGATGTTGTGTCCGCCGATAACTGAAAAATAAATATTAAAAAAAAATTCTCTCTCTCTCTCCTCTCTCACTCTCTCTAAAAAAAAAAAAAACTTGATGTTAGTCTCTAGGTAAACTATACTAAATAGAAATGTATAACAAGGCTCAAATTTCAATAGAATATAATAGGAATCTAAGGTCAAATTCCACCTAAAGAATTTTTAATTCCATAAACATTGGTGATATAACTATTCTATGGCAGGCATTATGTATTAGGTACAGCTCTGAAGAATCAATGATTAAAAACAACCAAAAAAAAAAAAAAAGATCGAGAGAGACACTGCTATTTCAAGGGGCTCACCTTGTAAACTATGAGACATGTGGAAGCAAATATAATTTGCTTAATTGTCTTAGTCCATTTCAGCTGTTATAGCAAAGTACCATAGACTGAATGACTTATAGACAACAGAGACTTATCTCTTCCAGTTCTGGACGCTGGAAGTCTGATATCAGAGTGCCAATATGGTCAAGTTCTGGTGATAACCCTCTTCTAGATTTCAGATTGTTGTTTTCTTATAATATTCTTACAAGTTGGGGAAAGGGCAAGAGATCCTCTTTTATTAGGTCTCTTTTCTTAGCACACTAATCCCATTTATCAGGGCTCTACCTTGCCAAAGTCTGGCTGGGCACAATTCACAAGCCACTTATCAAACAGAAACGAACTTTATTTTTAGAACATACACAACACCACAGGAGCTCTTCAGGAAGTCCCTCAGAGCCCAACTGCCACCACTGGCTTCCCACAAGCCTCTCAACCCCCCCACTCCTCCTGCTCTTGAGGCCGATTGGCTGGGTTGTGTGGGCGGAGCTAAAAGAGTCCCCCAATGAGCAGCCCTGTGGTCTGAAAGGGCGGGGAAACAGCCCAATGAGCATCACCACAGAGGAGCCAATCAGCTGGCAGCTGGAAGTTTGCTGGGGCCCCTTCGGCTGTGCCTCTCAACACTACCTCCTGATCTAACATCTCGCCAAGGTCCCACCTTCTAATACAATCATATTGTAGGTTTTACAAATTTGGGGGGAGTACATTCAGTCTATTATAAAACTCAGTGTGGTAAGAGCAGTTGAAGTGACTAAGAAGTCTTCTCAAAAGAGTGACATTCTATCTGAGTCTTGAAGGACAAGGAGAGATTCTGAGAAGCATACAAGGGTTGAGAAGACCTTTCAGGCAGAAGCAACAAGAAGTTCAAAGGCACTGAGGGATGAGTATTGGTGATGGTCACTGGAGAGATCAGGTGTCTAGATGGTGGGATTAGGTCATACTGAGAACTTGAACATCATGATCAAGAGTTTAGACTTTATTTTAGGTTGTCAAGAAGCTTCGAGAAGTAGGCATGGTGTTGGTAAGTAATTAGTAAATTTCAGTTGTCTTTTCTCTGGGATCATTGCAAAACCAAAAGTGATCCCACTGTCTCTGCCGAAAAAGCAATGTGCCTATTGAAAATCTGTTTACAAAACCCTTAGAATATAACCTTTTGAGGCATAGTGGCATATGCCTATAATCCCAGCACTTGAGAGGCTAAGTCAGGAAGATCATAAGTTTGAAGCCAGCCTGAACAACTTCCTAGGACCCTGTCTCAGAATTAAAAAAAAAAAAAAGCCTACTATACTTTAGGAAGAATCCTTTTCTTCTATTATAATTCTGGAGAGTCAATATAGTTTGATATTACAGGAGTACTTGGGTCTCAAATCCAGTTTATAGAGTTCAGTTATTAAGCTACTCTCTGCTCTGTTTTAAGTGTGTCTCCCCCACATTCACCTGTTGGAAGCTCACTTTCTTAATGCAGTAGATCTGGGAGGAAGGGCCAAGTGGGAGATACTTGGTCATGGGTGGAGCTCTCATGAATGCATTAATGCTTTTTGTTGAAGGAACAAATTTAACTATCACAGGTACTTTTTACCATAAGTACTGAGAAACAAGAGCAAAGGGATGACCTAAAGGTGGAATATATAATCAAAAGGGAAGCAAAGCATAAAAATCTTTCTTGGCTTGACCATGTAGAATGAAGAAGCATGTTTGGCAGAGAATGCTGAGTGTGGTCAAGTGACCATTGTTGAAGATATCAGTACAACTGCAAGGAAGCCAGGTACTATTCATCAGGACAATGTAACAAGGCCCTGGAGGTATTTTGGAAATTTTCAATCTGCCTTTCCTATCACAGACTCAGAGCACCAGGAGGCAGAGTGGCTTAGGGGTACTAGCCCAAGATCATACCCAGGGCCACCTCAGGACTCTGCTCCCTGCATTCTGGTGCAGTGTGGGGAGTCAAGTGGCCCCAAGCACAGCTTGTGCCTCCTCCCCAGAGGATCAAGCAGTAAGTCTTGGTGGAGCACACAGGGGGCATATTCTGCTGATGTTTAGGGTGTAAGAGCCATGGAGACATAGTGGCACCACCCAGATTTTGAAGGATGCTCCATCTAGTTGCTTGGGAGTCTAGACAGAAATCTCTTCCAAGATCAGCATTCCCTCAGAAGCTTCACTAAAATGCCTCATAGAGCCATGGGAGTAGGGCCACCCTTGGGATTCCAGAATTGCAGAACCACCACCAATGTGCAACACGCGCCTGGAAAAGTTGCAGGCACCAGTTGCAACTCCAACCCAAGGAAAACAAGCATAGACTGAGCCTAGCAAAGCCCAGGAGTTGGGGCTGTCCAACATTTGGGGGGCTCAACCCCCAATGTGTCCAGAAGGCTGCATGGAATGACGATTCTCCAGCTTTAAACCTTAATGTTTGTTTTCTTGGTTTTCAGATTTGCTTGGGATGGTTACTCCTATCTTTTGGTCAATTTTTACCTCTTGGAATGGAAATATGTACCCTATGCCTATCCCACCACGGTATATTGGAAATAGATAACTTTTTATTTTAAAGGCTCACTGATGGAGTCTCTGATAAGACTTTGGACTTTAGACTTTAAAGTTGATTCTGGAATGAGTTAAGACTTTTGAGACTATTGGGATGGAATTAATGTATTTTGCATCATGAGAAGGACACGAATTTTGGAGGCCATAGAGGGAGGCAAAGATTTGATTGTGTGCCCTTCAAATTCATGTGTTAGAACCTTAATTCCTCAATGTGGCAGTGTTGGGAGGTGAGGTCTATTGGAAGGTGTTTGGGTCATAAATGTGGAGCCCTCATGAAAGGATTAAAGGTTTTCTCAAGGGAATGGGTCACTATCACAGGAGTTCTGCTGTCCCCATTTGCTTTTATGCATGTGTCCATATGGTCTTCTTTTCCACCATGAGATGACACAGCCTGAGGTCCTCAACAGATGAAAACACCTGATTTTGGACTTCCCAGGCTCCAGAACTGTGAGCAAAATTAAACCTGTTTTCTTTATGAATTACCCAGTCTCGGACGTTCAATTATAGCAACAGAAGATGGACTAGGACCCTGTGTGAATCTAGATGTCTAGTTGCTGTTCTCTTTCTGCCAGCTGGCTTCAGTTCAAGCATGATTATCATGGTGTTTACATTTTGTTGCCTCAATTCCTTCCTCTTTGTTAGGAGAGAGAGCTTGAATTTAGGGCAGGGTTTAAAGGTGTGTCCTGATTAGCCCTCTTTGATTTTGTGACACTTATGTTTAGGGATGGCTGATAGATGTGAAGAAGGCAGGCCAGAGAAGGTTGAAAAGGAGTCCGCTGCCCTAACCCACCCACTGATAATAAAGACCTGAGGAGAGCAGAGGCTGTGAGGCTAGTCAATGCTCTCAAGAAAGAATGGTCACCCCACTTAGCGTGGCCTCTTCCCTTGATGATTCAGGCTTCTGGAATTGGCTCACACTCTGGTCTTTTGAGGTAAAAACAGCTGTCATGTATGCAGACATGTACCCCTTTATCTTACTTACTTACTTATGTCTGTATGTCTTTATTTAGCAGTACTGGAGATTCCAGGAGTGCTCTACCACTGAGATACATCCCATGTGGACACATGCCCTTTTATTTCGAGACAGGGTCTTGCTAAGTGCGAAGTTGCTTAAGCTGACCTTGAATTTGTGATCCTTCGACCTGGGCTTCCCTAGTAGCTGGGATTACAGGTGTGTACCACCGTGCCGGGTTCCCTTTAACATTTTTAAACAAAACTGGTGATTGCAAAGAATAAAACAGGGATTTCTCCATAGCTATAGAATCTGAGGGCCAAATCTATGCAATTAGAAACACTGACATCTAGTGTTGACGTTGCAAAAGGACAGATGGTGAGCCTTACTGTGGAGATATTTGAGAATGCCATGGGTTTTCTTAACTTTAAACCCCTATATCAACAGGGATATATATATATATATATATAGTGAGAGAGAGAGAGAGAGAGAGAGAGAGAGAGAGAGTGTGCCACAATTCCAGCAGTTTCCAGGCCTTCCCTCACCTCCCCAGGGTCTCATAGGGCCAGGATAGGAGGGATGAGCCAGCCTCTCCTCTCCTGTTCCTCCTAGTCACTGTTGCTCCCTGGACCCAGAGCTCTTGGCTTCTGTTCTGTGCATTGCAAGAGGTTTACTTCTCATCTCTCTTATTCCCTTTATTCCACCGGCAATTTGAAATCTGCCCACTGTCAAAAAAAAAAAAAAAGAAAAAAAAAAGAAAAGAAAGAAAGAAAGAAAAAGAAAAAGAAAAATCACTGAGATGCCTCTGGGTGTAGAAGCACCTTTTTGCCTGTTATGTCCCAATGGCTACATTTACAAATGCTTTTTTTTTTTTTTTAATGAAGAAGCCAAATGAAAACACCCCCTCTCCTTCTCTCCTGTCAACAAAAAAATTGAAAAATATCCATTAGTACAGTGTTGTTATAATAGTACATTCTTCTACCCTTTGAAACAGATTTCAAAATAAGCAGCATAGGGAATTTTTGAAAAATTTTTTTATTTAAATATATAATTTCTGCTAGGCATGATGGCACATACCTGTAATTCCAGTGGTTTGGAAGGCTAAGGCAGGAACACTGCAAGTTTGAGGCCAGCCTCAGTAATTTAGCGACATTCTAAGCAATTTAGTGAGAGCTTGTTTCAAAATAAAAAGGGCTGGGGATGTAGTTCAGTGGTTAAGTACCCCAGGGTTCAATCCCTGATACCAAAATCAGCCAACCAAATAATCAATCAATTAATCGTTTCTTTTAGCAATCAAGGAAACCCTGGTGTTCATGAATGAGATTATCGTATGTATTTGTTGCCTGTAGTCCATTGCTACTATAAGAAACTATAAATATTTCCCAAATGGGGAGCTCTTAAAAGAGAGAACATTATATGATGAGTAGAATCAAATCATCCCTTGCTGAGCTCATGATAAATTTGCTTTTTCCTGTCAAAAACTGGGAGAACAAATGAGCTGTGTTTTACAAAAATGGAATTAATACTAGAAGTTACTTGTGATCAATGTCTATGAAAATCTAATTTATTCAGTGGCTCTCTTCTATTTAAAAAGTGCATTGCCTGTGTATTGAGCTCAATGTTCTAGGCCCTGGGAAATTAAGAGTGAACTGTGTCTAAGGAGTTTATGGTATGTTGAGTTTGCTGTAACCTCATTAACAATTTAGTACTTCAATCTTATTAGATATTTTAATTTCAGAGTCCTGGAGTTTTAAGGAGAGTAATGAAATTCCAGAATGTCCCTTTACTCATTAACCACTGATGTTTAAACAAACTAGTCTCTCACATTAAAACTACAAGGACACCTTCATTTGACTCCACTTTCTCTAGTTACTGCCTTCTCTCTTTCCCTTCACAGATAAATTACTCAAGAGCTTGCTGTATTTTCTTTCTTTATCCCTTCTCATCTGACTTTCCTCCCACCTACCAAAACAACTCTAATGTTCCATTGACCCCTTTCAGGCTTCATTTTGTCCAATTCATCTCTTCTTGAAATGCTCTTATTTCCATTCTGTCCTGAGTTCCCGAATGATAGGGGACAAATAGATGTGTGTGCTGGGTACAGGAGGTTAAAGGAACAATTCTATAAAATGGACCCACTGTGCTGACCCCCACATGCTTTTTTCAACAAGCAATCTACCTGCAGCCCTGCCCAGCTTAGGCGGACAGTATACGTCACATTCCTCAGCAAACTACCTGCAGGAAAAATGCAGGCCCCAAATAATGTTGATAAGAGGACCCCAAGTTACCCTGAAGGGGGAAACTTTTGTGACCCTTTTCACAGACCATATCCAGAAACTCAAAATTCAGAGATAAGGATAATTCCTCCTAATCATAAAATCTATAATAATTTATTGTTAAAAATCCAATTAGAACTGGTCAGCATAGGCCAAAGTGTCCTAGAGTTGTCATGGCAGTGGGGCCTTGAAAGACTGATGTCACCCTGCTGTAAGAGGTGGAGCTAGGTAGGACTCTCTGGAAGCTTCTCTGGGATTGCCAATAAAACTGGAGTGCAGGAGAAACACACCCCTCTCCTCTCCAAGAGGGCCCACACTCTCCCCTGAGGGTGTCCCCTTTCCCTTTTCCAATCCCTTCAATAAATTTATGACTGTTACTCTGACATGTTTGAAATCTTTCTGATTTAATTGCAAGAGTTGGGGTTTGAAGGTGGAGGGGGTGTCTTCATGCTGCCTCAGTTTCCTACAAGGACCCAGCCCTGTAAGGTCTCTAGTAGATTCTATATATGGCTGTTACATATTAGAATCTCTCAAAGCTCAAGCCCTAGGGCTTTTTCTTTTCATTTTCTGAACCTTACTGAGCTAATCTCATCCATGTCTACGTCAACCACTCCAGTTTATATTTCCTTCTAAGACTTTGCCTCAGAGTTTCAGAACTGCGTAGCCATTGCATACTATCCATTGCTGCTTGGAGATCTCAAGTTCAACATGTTGAAAATGGGTGGAATCATGATCTTCTCTCCTCCACGCCTGTGTCTGATATCTCAGTGAATGGCACTGTGATCTGTAGGCTACATGATCCAAAGACCTGGGATTAATTTTGAACCTCCCTTTCCCTTAGTTCTCCCCACACACCCCACCACCACCACAGTATGCAGTACATTACCAATCCTTTTAAATATCTCTGCATCTGTGCTAGTGGTGCCCTAATCTATGCTAATGTGTTTTTCTACCCGGACTACCTGCAGTAGCCACCTAATTGGCTTTGTACATTCTTCTTTTTTAGCTCAGTCTGTTTTCATCACTGTAGCCAGAATAATCTTAAAAATTTCTGGTCCAATAAAGACATTTAGGTGCTTAAAACATTTTTATCACTTAGCATTGCTTGGAGCAGAAAGATCATAATCAGTCTCTTGGCTCTACTTCCCATCAGGCTTCCCCCTTATTCCCTCTTCTCCTGGCATACTAACTTATTTTCAGTTAATGTGCAATGTTCCTTTTTAGCCACAGTTCTTTCTGTACAGCTAGCCACTGTGTGAAACTCTTCTCCCTCTTTCTACCTCCCGGTTGCCTAGGCAACACCTAATGGATGGTCACTTTCTCACAGAAGCCTTCCCTGACCTGGAGACTGAATCACATTCTCCTTTTCCTCACAGAAATTAGCATCATTTATATTTACACATGTTATGGTCTAAGGATTTGATAAAAGTTTGTCTTACTCAACAATCGGGTTGACCATTAAAGGCAGGAAATATATTTATCCTTCTTAACCATCTGATCCTCAAAACCTTGTGTAATGCCTGGCACATAGTAGGCATTCAGTAAATTTGTTGACTTAATGAATAAAGAAAATAAACACATGAAGGTCATAGTGAGTTGCCCAAGGTCAGGATGGCAAGGCTGAAACCATAGCCAAATATTCTAAGTTCTGGTCCAGCTCACCAGCCTTCTCAACAATGAGTTTATCCAAAATTTTATTCTGAATCATTGGAACCAAAGTAACTTTACAACTCATCAATTTCTCAAATCCAATTTACAAGTCCAATTTCTCAACCCTTCTATTTTCTACCAATGGGATTTATTCAGTAAGGTGATGCTGTAGGTATGGTCATATTTTCTTTTTCCATGAAGTACATGCTATATCTGTTCCATTTTAAAAGGGTATTATGATATGCCACTATTTCAAACTTGTAAAGCTTCTCAGGATTCTAAGAAGAAATACAAGGTTTTTGTCAAAAAGAACAATTTTGTCTCTTGCAATAGAATTTCCTGTTCAAAAAGTGCTATTAATTTGAAAACTGATATCTCCAAAAGAACATTCTATTAGGTGGGATCATCATCATCATATTCCCAGCCGCTATGTATATATCTTCTCTTAAATGTGAAAAGGGAGAAAGCCACTTTGCTGTGTAGAGAAGTGCCTCGTGTGTTTTTTAAAATGTTCAGTAGTTAAAGGAGAGGCTGCTGCATTTGTAAGATAAATAGGCTATGCCTGAAGAAGCTTCTCAAGGGTCTTTGTGCCATGGATGAAAATGGGATCATTACTTTTGATCCTCTGCACACGTCACTGACTCCCACCTCCAGCTGATCCACGGGTTATAAGTACCTATGAATCGTCTTGCAGATTGTAGGCAAGATTACCTACAAGGGCCAGCCAAAGCCAAGCTCCTGGTAAGCTTTATTGCCCTTTGTATTTCTGTTTCCATTTCACATATTGGGGTGGAAAGACAGTCTGTATTCATAGTGGTATGAGATGCATTTCTCTGTCTCAGATGTGTATGTTGGAGGCATTTCTCAGTATAGGGTATCTGAAGTAATTTTTTCTTTTTTAAGGCTGCTATCTTAAGACATAAGTAATTTAAGGTTTGGCTGTAAAACTTGCTTTCTTTGGAGAAAGCAAAGTGTGTATTTATTCAAAGATGAAAAAGGCATACTTGGACTTTCTAGGTTGTATTCATAATTGCTTTTCTCATCATTGTATAATGCTCTCCTTATCATGGACTCTTTTAAGTGAATCACCTGGATTTGGGGGGCCTCATTTGAAAGTGAATATGGAAAAGATGGTTGAAAAATTTAGGTGAACCAGTAGTCATTTCTCCTTCCTTTTCTACCTTTATAGATTACCCCCCCCCCATCTCTCCTTTTACTCAGCTTCATTGCATCATGTCCAAAGCACCCCTCTTGCTGCTGTGTGTTGCCCTGGTGCTAACTGGGCATGTGCATGGAGCCACACTGAGAAATGAAGACAAGTGGAAGCCACTCAGCAACCCTAGAAATCGTGATCTGGTAAGAACACATCTGGGACATGCTGAATATAAGGTTGAACTGGCACCTCTCTGAAATTATGCACACTGTGTCCTGTATTGTAGAGCAGAGTTGAGAAGAGGCTACCAGGAGTTGAGGATTTCCACAAGGACAGGTCCAATGTTTTGCTAGTTGAGTGGTGGGCATTCTATTGTTTCTCTGGCCAGTTCACATTTATTTCTGTAAGGAGAAACATTTATATTTAGAAATGATCTTATGCATACTCAGCACATGACATTTGTAAATGTCTTATTTACACATTGACTTTATAGCCTTGATTCCTAATACATACACAAAATAATGTAATTGTGGTGTGTGCCAGTAATGCCAGTTACTTGGGAGGCTGAAGCAGGAGGATCACAAGTTTGAAGCCAGCCTTAGCAGCAACATAGTAAGACGCTTTCTTTTTTATTTATTTATTTTTTAGTTGTAGATGGACAGCATGCCTTTATTTCACTTATTTATTTTTATGTGGTGCCGAGGATCGAACCCAGTGTCTCACATATGCGAGGCAATCGCGCTACCACTTGAGCCACATCCCCAGCCCAGTAAGATACTCTCTTAAAAAGTAAAAAGGGGCTGGGTTACACACCTGTAATCCCGGTGACTGAAGCTGGAGGATTAAAAGTTTGAGGCCAGCCTCAACAACTTAGCAAGGCCCTAAGCAACTTAGTGAAACCCTGTCTCAAAAATAAAAAAGAAAAAAGGGTTTGGGGGTACAGCTCAGTGGTTAAGCACTCCTGGATTCAATCCCCAGTACCTGAATAAATAAGTAAATAGTATAAAAAAGTTTTTGCTCAACATAAACTGTACTGATGATAACATAGACAATCATACAACCAACATTTGCAAAACTTAATCACAAAAATTGGAAAGTGACCCTGCATAGTTATCAACTTACTAAGCATATTTTCAACATATGGTTATCTAGAAAATAGAATTCAGAAGACCAGTAAAAATTCTAAAGCATGCCAAATACAATAAACATGTTGATATGACTATTTCAAATATATTTTTTCTAAAGAAAATGATGTGAAATGTAGATTAGAATAATTAAACCAGTAGTACTTTGCCCAGTTTCTATGTGTTTGTTTCCTAAACAGAATCTGAAAAACACTTACTTAAAAAGAAACTACTGCCAAGGGCAGCAAGTGGCTCTCTCCTTCAGCAGAGGAGACACTGAGCTAATAAATGTGGAGTTCAGATTCATTTATGACCTCAGTACTCAGAGGGCTCACAATGAATCCTGCCTGTGGTGCTATTATGATTGACATTCCTCTCTTGGAATTTTTCATCAACAATGGTGAATGATCTTGTTTAGGGTTGAAATGTAAGAAAGATGGTAGGAGGAGAGGAGGAGAAGACAAACTGAAGCTTGAACTTCTCTTTCTGGATTTTCAACCTCCTGCTTCTTAGATTAGTCTTAAAGTCAATTCAGGGAGAGAAAAGGAGAGGACAAAAATTCATATTTGAGTTGTGATGTTTCATTTACATATGGCAATGAATATTTTCTTTCTAGTTTTTCAGAAGCCTTCAGGCATATTTTAAGGGCAGAGGTCTTGATCTTGGGAGGTTTCCAAATACTTTCTCCATGAACGAGAATCCCAGACCTCTCTCTTTCCAGCCAGAACTGATAGCTGCTGCGTTTGCAGACTATGAAGAACAGAAAAATTCCTTTCCCAATTACCTCAAAGGCTGAAAGTTTCCTCTGAACTCAGGTAAAAGTTGTTGCTTTATTCCCAAGATCTAACCAAACATTCAAATCAGCCATAAGTAGAGATTTATATTTCTTTGAAAAGTGACTTATTTCCTCAGAGAAAAAAGTGCTTAGCTCTGATAATACTCATAACTATTAAATATTTGAGTTTGGTTTGAATATTTTATAGTATGGCTTTTTAAAATAATAGTTACAAATTTAAGCATATATTTCTAGGGATACATATATTAAAATATTGAATTGTTACTCTTAATAGAATGATTAAATTAATTAAATATCACATACTCTTACCTACAGCTTTTTTCAGACCATGTCATATAGCTAAGTTATGTAGAAAATAATACACAAAGAAATATATCAAATTGAGCAGTTGGGTTAAATAAAAAATAAAAGTTAAAAGAATGGTTCTTTTGAAGGGAAAATCGAACTCATAGAACTCGAATTTCCTAATTTAGAGAAAAACAAGGTAAAATATTAGTAAAGATGGAATTTATGGAGTTGTGAATGTAGTTCAGTGGTAGATGCTTGCCTAGCATGTACGAGGCCCTAGGTTCAAGTCCCAGCACTGCCAAAAAAAAAATCATGTTTAAGACTTGAATTTAGTATTCTTATTACTTTAGCCTTCTATATGTACCATTTTAAAAGAAGCAGGTTATGGTACATTTCAAGAAAATACATTATGGTTCTAGCATATTAGCATCTTGTTTGGCTGAATAATAAACAGAATGGAATCGTAATTAAAATATTTTCCCATTCTTCTACATATTGGTGAAATTGTGAGGAAGCATAACCACTGTTATATTTCATTGTATTTTTGAGAGGGTTTTCATTATTAGTTCTCTAAAATGAGATGATTAAAAGAAATAATGATCCTTATTTTTTAAAAAAGATGCAATTTGTGATGTGAAATATGAACTTGAATACTATCCTAAGATGAAAAAATAAAATGGAATAAACAGAAAGATATTAATAAAGTTTTTCCTTGACTATTTTTCATAAACAGACTGTAGGGTATCAGTAGCTAAAACAGAATAATCATTAATACCATAGTTCCTATTTTGGTATGAGGTATATAAATTGCTTGTAAGCCTCAGTTTCTTCATTTGTAATTGCAGATACTAATCTCTACCTCACAGAAAGTATCACAGAAGTACTAAATAGATACTTTACTGTAAGCATAGAATGAGGTAATATAGGAATTATTCAAAGTTGTGAAAGAAGCTGAGCTTCTGATTTGGAGTAATTTCATAATTATGAGCTCTATATTTCTAATATCTCTGATATAAAAATGAGAACAAAAAGTTTTCATTGAATTATGTTGAGTTGGCTGTCTTTGTCTTAATTTTCTATTTCATTATATCATTTCCTTGTTCTTTCAGGAGTCAAGGCCATTTTAAAACTACAGAAGCAGCTTCTCTTTAGAACTATTCCACCATGGTCATGGCTAAACTTTTGCATGTTACTTCTCCTTTATGCTTATTTGTCAATTTGTAATGATTTTATTCTACATGCCCATATTTATATATAAATATTTGGACCTTTGGGATGTATGTGACTTATGCGCATATTTTGGAGTGTTTTTCCCTTCTATTATCATATTGATGTAGAGCACTGCATGTATTTATAGGACTCACAAAAACATGAAAAAAAAGACATCATGGGTGAAAAGATAATAATCTTCCAAATTAGATATTTTCCTTAAAAACTCACAATATTAGTTTCATACCAAATGAGAGTACGTCGAAATGGAAGCAAGCAGATATGGGATTCTAGGAGGTACCAAGGTCTCTGGAAGATGCTCTCATGCTAATATATTCAGAGGCTGACATTGTGCTAAATCAAATATTCTAGCTACACTCAGTCTTCAATCTGTGGAACACAACCTCCTCAAGAAGAGAGAGGAGAAACAGGAGGATTTCTATTCTTTTCCAACCAACCTCCTCTCCTCATCATAGTGTGTTCTAAATTATTCTAATTCCCATATGCTCATTTGGAATGACTACCTGTGCTATATCATTATGGATAGTTATATCATTTTCTCTGTGATTCCTGCAAAAGAAACACTGTACTAGAATATGAACATCAATGTCCTAACAATGTTAATCTGTATGTTCCAAAATAGTTTTAGTGGGTTTTTGTGGATTGTCAATACTGAATATCAAGAATAAATGTTTATGTAAGAATAAATTCTGCCTAGTTTAATGAATTTTATTGTCGTTAGTTGTAAACATGTCTGTTTTCCCTGGAGGATTGTGAGGTCTTGGTGAGAAAAATATCATATCTAATCTTTTTTTTTTTTTTTTGGTACCAAGGATTGAACTCAGGGTCACCCAACCACTGAGCCATATCCCCAGCCCTATTTTGTATTTTATTTAGAGACAGGGTCTCACTGAGTTGCTTGGCGCCTCACTTTTTGCAGAGGCTGGCTTTTAAACTCACAATCCTCCTTTTTTAGCCTCCAGAGCCACTGAGAAAATAACCATACAGGACTCCTCCTGGCTCCATTTTTTTTTTCTCCTGAGGCTAGCACAATGGCTAGCATGTAGCAAGTGTTCAATAAACACTTGTTAAATTGAAGTAATTGTGCCCTATTCTACTATCCTTCACACTATAATGGAAGCTGCTTTTAGTTGACAAAATTATTCTTTCCCATTAAAATATAAGTAATTATTGATAAGCATAGCTTTTATGAGGAAGAGAGTGTTTAACTGCTATTGAGTTCCTTTCCAAGTACCAGTGGTTTTCCTTTTCTCACTCCTACTCCACCACTGGGTGTCAAGACCACCACAAAGGGAGTGCTTATCAGCTTCAGGACCTTTGAAAAGGAAAGACACTCACATAGGATTTAGGCAAGAGCTTGCAAAGTCTCAGGGCAGAATTTTGCATCCTTCAGCTGCAAAATTCATCACAATTAGTAGCTGTTGATAGCAGCCCTTACTCCACATTGCCTTGAGGTCCATAATGATGATGCTATTGATACCTCGGGTTACTGCTGACGAGTTCTGCTCCCTCACATATTGAAGTATAACATTAGAGAAGCACGCCGAAGCAAGCATACAAAGCAGGGTTCATTTAAAAAGGGGGGTAACAGACTTCTCCCAGGAGGGAGAAGGGGGCCATAGTTGGTATCCTAAGAAGCGAGGCGTTCTGCCTTTTTTTAATATGTCCTAGGCTTCCTTTATTCTCCTGCTCACTTCCTCTATCTCTCTCCTTCCTTCCTACATGACTAGGCCCAGGAGATGCTCAGTGGGATGGCCAAAAGGTGAGAAGCAGATGGATGGGATAAGACCAGCCAGGGACACATTAACAACTTTATAACTCCCTGTAAGAGGTGGGGGGCAATTCCTGGGACAGGTTACCTTAGCAACAGGTAGGAGCAGGGGCAGGTTCTTGATAGGGTGGAGGAAGGGCTCTGAAGGAATTAACATTTCAATCCTTCAGGGGACAGTCTCCAACTTCCCGAGCTCACTCAAATTGGCCTCCTTGATCTGACCTGACTCAATTTACCTATCTATACTGACTGCCTGTCTAATTCTGGCTTCACTGTTGGCATTTGGAGAAGGCAAAATCTTCACTTTGTGTCAATTCTGGTCTTCACACCACCCCTGGGAAACAGAAAAATTGTTAGGAAAATTGAAGAACTGTAGTCTTTCCTTGAACAGAAATAAATGTTCTGCAAATGTTCAAGGGGTCTGTGGTACTCCTCTACTTAGGACCTTGGCAGCCTCCCACCACTGACCCTGCTCTTTTTCAGTGAGGACCCCATTCTCAGGACATAGCCTATTGTTCTCTGTCTCAGATCTAGTTTGGTCAAGAACTGTTGAGAGTGTATGGTTGTATTGTATTTGTAAGCTACACAATAGTTTTCTACATTTTCATCAATCCAGGCAGTCACATGAAACTCCGGTCTGAGACAATTGGCTTTATTTCTCATGATGTGACAGGCAGCATGAATTTTATATTCATGTGGGTTCTCCTCATCCCCCAAATATTGAAGGAGGGCATGCAAATGTGGGTTCAGGGGCATGCTTGGCACAAGTGGGTTTGTGCCAAAGGTGAGGAGCTCCAAACTAGGAAATTCCTACTCTTATAATGGGGCTGCTTGCAAAAATGCTCAAACTTTGCCCTGGAGAGAAACATTATCTTTATTATACTGATCATAAAACAAAACTCTATGTCCCAGAAAGAAGCACTATCTCTACTTTTGAGCATGTTTGCTCTATAAAGAGAAATTTACCACAAGCTTTTGCAGAAAAGTGAAAGTTCCTGGTAAAATGGCCTCCCCAAAAGTGTCACAGCTCTTCCTGACTCCTCCTCTTGACAAGAAAAAAGAATGGAGAAATCTCTTCTCTCTATACTCTCTTAATTCTCTCGTCATGGTATAAATTCAATGTTCTGCTTCCTTCAGATTTCCCATTTTGATTCTCAAAAATCAGTCTGAAGAACCAAAATGTTTCTTCTTGCTTTTTTCATTATTGCTGTAACAATTCTGCTTCATCACAAGGTAATGTGGATGCCGCTGACTCACCAGGGGACAAATCACTACCAGGAAGTGGGGAAAAGAAAAACAGAAAGATTTAAAGTTCAAGTTACTCAAGTGTGTTCTGACTTCTAAAAGAACTTTCACGTCATCAAGATTCTCCACCCACCCCTTGTGCATTGCTTCCTTCTTCTTTAATGGAAATCTGTACCTTCAGATTTGTTATTCCCAAATTCTAGGTATCCAACAATAAAACAAGCTAGTCTAAACCATCTGGGTCTTAGAGTGTTTTTACCAATTTACCATCCCCTCTTGCTTTGATTCTTTTCTTTTTCCCTAGGAGAGTTAGAACTTGAGACTCTTGACTTCTTATTTGTAGGGATTTTCCCCTGAAGTTTTCCAGGCAGATCCCGACTGCTGGAAAACTTCAGGGGAAAATTCCTACAAATAATTTCTGTGGATTACCTTGACATATCCCACTTGTTCACCTTTCTTATTTTAT